GGCAGGTCTGAGAGGAGCAAATTCTTTCAGTATTTGTGAATATTAGAATGTCTTTATTTTGCCATCACTTTTGGAGCATATATTTTCTGCATATATAATTTGTGATCAATTTTTTTCTTTCGGTATTTTGACTATGTCATTCCCCCTAACTTCTGGCCTTGACTATTTGTTATGAGAAGTCCGCTATTAGTTGTATTGTTTTCCTCTTATGCATAAGTGGGTTTCTACTTATTGTTTTCAATATTTTCCCCTTGTCTTTCAATTGTTTGAATATAATGTGTCTAGCTATGAGTCTCTTTGTGTTTATCCTAGTTGGAGTTTGGTGACCTTCTTAGCTATAGTTAAGCCATTATTTCTTCAAATATTTTTCTTCCCGTTTCTCTCCTTCTGTGATTCCAATTATCCTATATATTTGTAAGTTTGATGGTTTCCTGCAGTCTCTGAGGCTTTTATTTTAACGTATTCTTTTTACTTCCTAATCCTCACATAGAATAATTTCCATCAGAAGATCTTCAAGATTGCTGATTATTTTATCTGCCATATTTAATCTAATGTTAAGTCTTCCTAGTGAATTTCTCATTTCAGTTATTATACTTTACAATTTCCAGTTTTCCTTTTGTTCTTTTCTATAATTTTTTATTAATATTCTGTCTTTAGTGAGTTATTTTGATCATACTTTAATGAAATTCTTTAAACATGGTTTTTTCAGTTATTTGAACATATTATAATAGCTGTGCTGAAGTTTTGCATGCTAAGGCTAATATCTGCCTCTTCTGATGGGTTTCATTGATTATTTTCTTTGAATATGGCAATGATTTCCTGCTTATTTACATGCTTCATAATTTTTTATTGAAATCTAGACATTGAAGAAAATATACTGTAGCAAACTTTGAATTTTTATTCCTCCTGGGTGAGTCCAGAGATCCCTGTTAAATTTCTTGTTATTCTGCTGCTGTTGCATGTTTCAACCAGCATTTCAACCTCAGGGTGGGTGCAATATTGACCACTGAAATTTTCAGTGAGTGGAAAAATGCCCAGGGGCTTTGAGCTTTACTGTATTCTACTCCAAATCAAGCAGCCTCCTCCACCAACAAAATTGCTGGTTTTCACAGTCTGCACTACCCTCATGGTACTATTATGATGATGGAGCTGAAAGGTAGCATCTCCAGAATAAAACCTCAAAGACACCCACTTTTCTTACCCAAGGTTGAGTTTTTTTTGGTTTTTGGATTTTTTTGGTAAATAAATATTTCCCAGTTTGTTACATGCCTTTATTTGATTTTCAGAGTCCTAAAGTGGTTGTTTGTGACAATTTTGTCTAGCTTTGTTTCATGATTGCACTTCAGGAGAGGATTTGATCAGCTCCTTATTCTACCACTTCAAATGTTCTGCTCACTAAATCGGGTTTTTACAGTGTATGTGGCAGTAATACTGAGAATAATTTATGTGTATATTTAGTGTGGTAGATAAAATTCTGAAGATGCTTCCCCAAGATTCCCATCCCCTGGCCTATTTCATGAAACACTTATCTAGATGCTGTGGTAAAGGGACTTTGCAGATGTAATTAAGATTATAGACCTAAACTAGGGAGCTTATCTTGCATTGTACAGGTTGGCCCAATCTAATTACATGAGCCCTTAAAAGCAGCGAATTTAATGCAGGTAGGGTCATAAAGATGCAGCAAAAAAAGGGAGTAGGAATGACAAGACAGTGGGGGAAGTGAGAAAGATTCAAATATTGAGAAGGAGTTGACTTGCTATTGCTGGGTTTGAAAATGGAAAAAGTACAGGGAAGTACATAAGCCAGCACATGTGGATGGTCTCTAAGACACCCATACACTCCTCAGCAAACGAATAGGAACATTCGTCCTACAGTGTCATGGAACTGAATTTTCCCAACAACCTGAATGAGCTTGGAAGTGAATTCATCCCCAGAGTCTCCAGAAATAAATACAGAGACAATTTGATTTCAACTTTTGAAACCTGGAAGGGAACCAGGGAATCAGGTGAACCACACTGTGCCTGGACTTCTGACCTACACAACTGTGAAATATAAATGAGTATTTCTTCATGACACTAAATTTGTAGTAATCTGTCATGTTAGCAATAGAAAACTAATAATCCAGGATTGGACAAATAATATGCTATGGATAATGAGAGCCAGGTTTCCCACTCTTAGAGAAAGGATTTGCAAATAAGAAAAAGGAAGATTAACATGAATTCTGGAAAAACATAGATGTATTGATATGCAAATCTTGGTTTTTAAATGCCATTATTTGATAAAAGGATCCAGAACTCCTTGCAGAAGGGAAAGTATAATATAAGAGGAACCTAGAGTATTTTGTGGTGCTGAACAATAAGGAAGTGCTCAAATTATGATGTAGATATGTAAAAAAAAAAAGAAGAAGAAGAAGAAGTCAACCTGGTGGTGCTCCCAATGTCCAAATAGAAAACAATTTGACAAAAAAATTAATGGATAATAATCCATAGAATAAAATAATTACCAATGAGTTTGTACTTATATAAACAATTGAACAACTTTAAATAACAGTAGGGATGGAACAGTTCTTTCTTAGAATAGAATCCCAATTAATACACATTAAAAATGTGATGGAAATAGAAAATCACTACTGACAAAAACCATTGAATTGTCAGTGGATTCTAAAATTGGTGGATGAAAATTTGCTGAGAAACAGGATATTTGCATGGTCTCAAAGAATCTCTTCAAGAGATAGTTCATAATAACAGGGGAATATGAGGTTAGACTGGTCAGTGCTGGCAGATACATACCTTAACCAACTGACCAAAGTTCTGTCATATACAGACATCATGTACCCACTGATATGATGCACTGAGAAAAGCATGACATCCTTTTTGCAAAAAACATATAACATCAGTATAATTATAAGAAAACGTCAGACAAAACAAAATTGATGGATATTCTGCAAAATAATTGGCCAATCCTTTAAAAACCATCAAGGTCATATGTGGGAGTCAGCCTCCAAGATCATCCTAATGCTGCTCTTGATATTCACACCTTTTTGTGGTTTCCTCTCACACTGTACTAGGGAAGGTAGGTAGAATTCTAAAGATGTCTTCCTATTCCTAGTTTATTCAACCAAATAGGAATATGGGTGCTGTGGTGAAGGGACTTTGCGGATGTAATTAAGATCACTATAGTTGTCTATACGAACAGTAGAATGTGATAGAAGAAATGATATGTCATTTCTAAATTAGGTCATATAAGACACTGTGGTTTCAGTACTGGCTGCTCTTTCACTTTCCTTTGTAACATTCACCTTGAGCTGAGAACAGTCAGCTCCTTGTAATGAGGCCTTAAGGAGAGGCTCATATGTTCAGCTGCCTTCTAACCGCCATGTGAGCACACTTTCTTATAAGCAGATTATCCAATCCCAGGCAAGCCATCGGATGATTACGACCATCATAATCAACATCTTTATTGCAACATCTTGAAGGACCTCAAACTGGAACCACCCAGCACAGCTACACCTGAATTCCTGACCCACAGTAACTGTGAGATAATAAATATTTGTTGTTTTAAGCCACTAAAGTTTGGAGTTATTTGATACAGAGCAATAGAAAAGAAATACATCATGAAAGAAGATGAGTGAACAACTGTTCCAGTTTGGAAAAAATTAAGGAGCCATAATAAATAAATTTAATGTGGGATCCTAGACTGGACTTGGACCAGATAAAGACCACTAGTGTTAAGATAGGAAAAATTATAATAAAGTCTATACGATAATAGTCTTGTGCCAATGCTAAGTTCTTGGTTTAGATAATTGTTCTATGGATATGTAAAATATTCACACCAGGGGAAGCTGGGTAAAGCTTATAGGGAAATTGCTTATACTATTTTTGCAACTTTTTACAGTTCTAAAATCACCTTAAAATAAACTTTAAAAAAGAAAGCCAGACTCTAAATTTAAAAGAAAAAAATAGGTTATGAATTCCTGAGGATAATTTTGTAAGCTAAATCAATTTTAGCTAAAATACTAAAAAGTTTTAATCCAATTTTCCCATTCAGTTTTTCAGAGTGGATTGTGTCTTCTATTTATTTTTGATTACTCTTATGTAATGTATAAGAGTTAACATTTATTATACTTTGGCCAAAAAAAGGCTGAAGGAATCTAAATGTGTTGTGGTGAGGGGAAAAGAGCATTATAGCTCAAATTAATGTCCAGTCTGATTTCTCTAAAAGTATTGTACTGAGTATTTTGATAAACCAAGATGAATTAAATATAATCCTTCCAAAACAAATTATTTTTGTAAGTATTAGATATTTTACAATAAACTATCTATAAAATGTATCCTACTTAAATAAATCATATATCAGTCTGTCATACATGGAAACTATTATGTGAAAAAATGTTCCTAGTATATATTTCATAATAAATATATGGTTTATCTTGAATTCAATACATCTTTTGAGATACCAGAAATCACTGGATGAAATTATATTCACCTAATTCAAAAGTACACTGATTTCCCTTTCCCATCCATAAAATGTGCTGATATTCATAAGAGATAAGCCAAATTTCAAAATCTGTGTCATTTAATACGGTCAAACACTTAAAACAATCTAGTATAAATATTGATTTAATAAAAGGTATGTATATGTATTTTGTATAATTGTTACAATAAAGGAAATCTTGAAAGAAAATAAGTCTAAAATTTTATTTATATTTCCCTCCAATTTACATAGTAAAGTCAATTGCATACAGTTCTTTCCATGTTTAAGAGTTTTACATTTGTATTTTCTACAATTGAGGAAATCCAAATGTTAAAAAGTTTCAAGACATATATCTAATTATGTACAAAATCACAATAAGGCAATTTATAAGTTCAAGCTTACTTAAAAAATCTTTATAAATCGTGGAAAATATATTTCATGAACGATTTTGTTCTAGAAGTATCATATCAACTCATATGATCTAAGTGAATTACAAAGTAAAAACAATGATTATATAAATTACAGTAGTGTCTGTATTACCCTATCATAAAAGGAGGTATTCTTTCGAAATGTGTATATTATAAATAGAAGAGTCTGATGCTCTTTAAGAACCAAAATTATTTTCACTTTAACTATTTTCTTTAAAAAGTTTATGTATCACCTTATAAAATTAAGTATACTGAATACAATGAAGGCCTTGATAATTACGAATTTTTATGAATGTCAATTATTTAGTGACTGTTTACCAACCTATTTCTATGTATGGGGTGACTTTTTTCTTCTAAGTGGCCCTATACTCTGGTTTCTCTTGAGATTGTATAAATCTTTCACCTTTTAAATTAAGTGGCTCTAGATTAATATGTTTGTATAGTTATTCTATTTCCTTTCTTGCAATAATTTCATGTCTCCATCAGTGAGTTCCTCAGAATTTGCCATTGCTTTACAGCAATGAAATTCTTCCACTCTATTCCCTGCTTTCACAGAAGCCCTAAACATTCCTTTGGCCTTGGCTCCAACAGGAAGCATCATTTAAAATGCATCTGGCCGGGTAGGAGAGAGATTATCGATCCAGGTGTCATTTATTGCCCTGCCTATCTTTCCCTGTCCTATTGGTTGCTATGAATTTCCTGCTTCTTAAATACCTGTATTGTCGGTTACCTATTTGGCTTTAGTCTTTGGTGTGTATACGTTTCTGGTTTAAGTAGGTCTGTCTCTGAGATTCCTAACCCACAGCTCCTTTCCTCTAATACTCAAATGTGCTTCCTTGCCTAACTCCTAACTCATTCCTTTTCCTTAAATTTCACTTTATAAATGGTGCTAGGTTCTTGAATCATCATTGGCCATAGATTACCACCAAACATAATCTCTTAAATTCTGCAAATTTTTAGTGCTTCTCATCCTGGTTTTCCTACCAGGTCTTTACTCACAGTTTGTGTTATCCTGATTGCAGTGTATATAAAACACTGCTTGTAAAAAACTAACCCAGGGAAAAGCTGATAGAGGAAACCTGATAATGAATCTTATTAACTTAGTAACCTTTATTTAACAAAAATTTCAAATGGAATCATGTCTAGGTTTGACTTCAACACTTTTCTTAAATCAGTAAAATTTAAGTTATTTTTGTTGATGTTCATTAATCTATTAATATATCCTCCATATTCTGAGCAAAGTTGGCGTTTAAGTCTGACCTCAGAAAAAAAGAGTGAAGTTATAATGTTATCAGGCTTGTGAAATACTTTATCAAATAAATGCATCAGGTAAAGAGTGGGGTTTAACATTTTAATCAAACTATAATAATAGATATCTACCACATGCAAAGCACTATTTTAGCTGCCATAAGTAATGTGCTAGGTGATTGGCCTTTAAAATAAGAAAAATTAAAGTATTGAGTATGTAAGCATTGGTCAATAGTTCATTAAGAAATCTTTTTCTGTCTAGTTGGCACTTTACTGAAACTGGCACTTTCCTCTGAAATATATATAATTGAATAATACTATCACAGAGTCATAAAAGTTAAGTGTTAAAAATCAGCAATATCAATAAATTACCTCCTGGAATTCTTGAGTTAAAGTGAAAATATCTGTATACAATGCTGTTATTTCTTTCTTTTTACATATCTATATTACTTTTATGTATAAATATCCTAAATAAATACAATCATACTGAATTGTACCAAACATAAAATAAAATGACAGAAGGGTTAACTCAAAAAATCAAAATCAAAGATCATTTAACTTAAGAAAAGTAGTTAAAGTATTATATCCCCTCAGTAGGCCCAATAAAATATATGTTATCATTTAAATATTTTATTTTATTTTCATTTTAATAGATTTAGGGAGTATGAGTTGAATTCCATTACAAGTATATATTGTATGAGGGTGAAGTCTGGGCTTTTGGTGTACCCATCATCCCAACAGTGTATATTGTACATAAGTAATTTTTCATCCCTCACCCTCTCCCAGACATTCCTTCCTTTTGAGTCTCAAATGTCCACAATGCTGATATTTCTGTATTCGTTACATACTAGGACACAAAGAAGATGAGTAACCTATATCCTAATAGTTGAATAACTTGTTTCAATAGACAAAGGCCAGGCTACATTTAAACATGTAAATTTAAAAACAAATTACATGATAAAGCTGGCTTTAAATTCATGGGCTTTCCATAATAATTTCAAGAACTCAACGCATACATCTGATTAGTTTAAATTTTTATCCCATAAATTTTCTAGATAAACTCAAACTATTGGCATGAAAATTAAAATGAAACACATTATAAAAGGGACAGAAACATCACTGTTTTTAAAATGTACACTTTTAACCGATTGCTGGCCTTTTCTCTTGTTATTAGTTGAGGATTTCATACCTAGACAATGGGAGATAAGTGTGTGTATGTGTGTGCGTGAGTGTGCAGGTGCATGTGTGCGTTTGAGTCTTTTGGTGGTCTTTGAAGGCACAGGTTTGTTTCTTGTATTAAAAAAAAGATGAGTCTACACATGTATAAAAATACATTTGATTATAAAACATAAATTTTTAAAATATAATTGTCCATATTTGGTAAATAATGCTGCCATGGCAAAGTGTGTTCTTAGAAATGGAGGTGAATTTTCCAGTCGTAAAAGTAGTCTCTTCATTTCACCCTTCTTTTCCTTCTTTGTTGAAATCCTCTTGTACTGAAACAGTAGTCACAGCTGCATTCTGATTTTGAAATGACACCTCTGTGCCAGATGATGGTGGTTTATACAGAAAGATTGCAAGTCCATTGAAGAAAATGGTGATAATTTTACAAGTAACACCTAAATAAATAAAAAAAAAATTAATCATGCATCTGGGTCTTTAGATATTAGAAAAATTAATTCTTTTTGAGAAATTCTTCATGAATACAAACTCACTACTTTAAAGAGAATAATTACATGGGCATTATAGTTCTATGTTTTAAATTTTTAAAACATTAGGGAGAAAGAAATAAAACATTTCTATGCAATTCAATAAACTAGTATTTATTTTCTTTCAAAATAATAATAATGTATAATAAAAATTATCCTATTGTTATAATTATACATTCTTATAAAACAAGTATTCTATAGAATTAAATAAATTCATGTTCTATTTCTAAATTTGTTAACACAATACCGTATCTATAAAAAATTACAAGCAACCAAAAATCAATGATAAAGGAAACCTACACCATCCTTGAACCTGAATAAGTTGCAGAATTTTTCCAGGATGGAAAATAATTATTAAAATGAAAAAGATTTTCGAGTTCTTAGGAAAAAGCCCCATATGGAAAAAAAGTCTTTGGAGTTCTTAGAAGAAAGCTTAGGAGAAAGCACATTCAATGCTTAATCAGATCTACTCTTCATTATCAGCTAAAAACATAAAATATTAAGATTTACTTCACAAGCTTTGATTTATTATAGTATAAGCATTTAGTGTTAGCTGACTAAATTAACATGGTCTTACAGTGTAGCTTTTGCACTAGCTAGTTTATTTTTGTTAATCATTAGTATTTTATTTAAAAATCTGTATTTGAAAAATAGGAATGCTCATTAATCTAAGCAATATCAGATTCACAGGGAGATTAATTACATAGATACAACTGTAACAACTTTTTTGGTTTGTTTGTTTTTGAAAAATTAAAAACATGTGTTTTGGGGAAAAAATTCACATTCATCATTGAGTAAGATAAAGAGTGATTCATTATACACATATTTTGGCAAAAAAGTACAAACAAAAGGGATTAAATAAATTTTAAACATAAACACATTGAATAAACAATGGTTTTTAACAATGGGTAAAGTGATGGGATGATTAAATAAACTTTTAATTTTGTTTTACCTTTTGATGTTTTGTAACAACACTTATCTTTAACACAAACACATTGTATAGTTGTAACAAATATTTTTTCTTTATATCCTTATTGTGTAAGCTTTTAACTACTTAAAATTTATTTTACTTATTTATTTTTTTTACTTTTTAAACTTTTTGTTAAAAACTAAGGCAACAACACACATACCCTGACATACTTAGGATTGGGATCAATGATATCACTATCTTCGCCTCCACACCTTGTCTTATTGGAAGGTCTTAGGGGCATAAGTAAGAATGCCTTCTAGAATACCTCCAGAAGGACCTGCCTGAAGCTGTTTTACAGTTCACTTTTTTTAAAAAAATAAATAGAGGTGTACATATAAAATAATGATAAAAAGTATAGTATAGTAATATTAATACATAAGCTAATAATATAGTCATTTTATCATTTATGAAGTGCTAGGTACTGTACATAATTGTATGTGCTATACTTTCATACTACTGAGAGCATATTAGATTTGTTTACACCAGTATCACCAAAACACCAGTAATACATTGCACTGTGACTTTATGATGGCTACAGTGTCACTAGGCAATAGGATTTTTCAGCTGCATTGTAATCTTATGAAGCCCACTATTTCATAAATACAGTTCATTTTTGACAAAAGTGCTATATGATGTGTAACTATATATTTTGGAATCGTGGGTCATGTGACACATGACTATATTATTTCTCGATTTATTTTTTGGATTGTTCATTGCTAGTGTATAGAAAAGCAACTGATTTTATAGTATGATTTTGTGTCCTGAAACTTTAAAAAATTCATTTTTCTAACTTTTTTTTTTCTTTAATTTTAAAGAGATTTTATCTGAGCCAAATTTGAGGACCATGACCGGAGCCACTCCCAAGAAGCCTTGAGCATGTGGACTCCTCTAGCATATTTTTAATGGGGTCTTCATGGTTTTATACATATATAATCATGTCATCTGCAAAGAGACAATTTACTTCTTCCTTTCCTATCTGAATACCTTTTATTTAATTTTCTTGCCTAATTGCTCTGGCCAGGATTCTAGTTCTGTGTAGATGTGAGAGTGGACATCCTTGTCTTGTTCCTGATCCCAGAGAAAAGGCCTCTGGTTTTCACTATTGAGTGTGATGTTAGCTGTGGTTTGTCATATATGACTTTATTATATTAAGGTACATTCCTTCTATACATAGTTTGTTGAGAGTTTTTAATAAAAATGTCTTCTTAATAAATGTTCTTTCTCCCTTTATATTTGTTAAAATTTAGAGGATCTCGTGACTCTTTTGGTGTTATTTGTAATATTCTTAGTTCAGATAACATTTAAGGAAGATTAAACCAGTTTATATGCTCTTACCAATAATTTTTTCTAATATACAAATGCTAAACTGGTGCCAATGTGAACTTGCTCAAAGAGTGAATATGCTATATCACCTCTTTTGGTCTCTTTTGTATCTATATTTCCAGGTGTGTTAATCACAGGCAGCGTTCTCTAGCATTGAATACAGTTTATGTTGCTTCGATTATTGGGTATGCTATTTTTCTTAATCATTGATAACTGTTGGCTATTTTGATTCATTAGTGTTATTGATTGTTCATTTATGGTACATATCAAGAAATAATTATAGTGGAAGACTACATAGTTGTTGTTTGAAGAAAGCTGTTTTCCAATGTTTGAGATGTAGTATTATTTATATATAAGAATA